TCCAAGCCACGCTGTCTAACTTTCACATTGGTAAAGTGGAGCAGCGGCCACACACACGCAATCGACCGCAAGCAACGGTGCTCAAAGGCAGACAGACGGCGCAGGTCAGCGATACGAACAGGCCAAGTCGTGCAACCGTCCAACAGTACAGCGCGGACAGTCGCACAATAAACTCATCCTTTGATGGATTTACTTATGTCATGGCGGCGACGCAAGTGTTTCATCTTAAGAGAAGCTGGGAGAGCTCTTGTGATACGCAACGAAATCTGGTCTCCAATGAATTTATTGGCTGTGATAAAACTACCGAGATAGACAAAACTCTCCGTAACCTCCAGTGTCTCGCCAACAAGAGTGAGTTCAGGTACAGGCATCTGAAAGTCTTGGAAAAGAGCTTCGCACTTGAATGGAGAAAAGCAGTCCCATATTTTGACGCTTCAATCGCCAAGTGGTTGAGTGAAAGTTGGACAGCCTGTGGACCGTCACTCAGCAAGACGATATCATCACCGCTGACCAAATCAACAGCTCGGCTACCTGGGAGGAGCACATGGGCTGCGCGTTTAATAAGTTATGCACAGCATTCTTTAGGACCTCCTCAGTTGCAAGGTTATTAAGATATTTGCATCTACATTGTCCCGGAATATGCCGGATGAATGCTTCAGCCAGATGTTACGTGTATTGGCCTCTTTATAGAAGGGACAACGCTATACATGTTTATGTCGCCACATGTAGTAAATGTGTATCAGCAGCGAAATTTCTAAACAAATTCATCCAACCCTGGATGCCAGCCTCTAAGCCGAGGGAGAGCATTCACCTTTATTTCCCTAGTCCTGTTCAAGGCCAGTTTTTTAACTTTTGATTGATGCGTATACCATGAGGCCGGACGTATACCTGATGAACACAACCACAACAGCGGCCACGATAGGAGAATTACAACAGTTACGTTCACAGTTGGGTTCACCAAATAACGGTTCGCAATTTACGTCCAATGAAATTGGTGCTTTTGTCAGTGTAATTGTGTCAAGCAATTCCGGTCGTCTCCGGGCATCCCCTGTCCAAAGGATGCATACCATCAAATGTTTACGTCTAAAGCTTCGGGTGGAAGGACCATCCTAATGACCTCTACGTTTTCGAGGTCTATCTGGTGACCCGTGTCTGATGCATGCACAGCTACGGCCGAGTCTCTTATTATGGCCTGGTATCCAAACTCGTTTCTTGGTAGTCTTGAAATGCGCCTCCTATGCTCCGAAATTCGTGTGCGTAATTCTCTCGCTGTTTGGCCTATGTACACATGTGCACAGTCCTTACATTTAATTTTATAAACACAGTTAGTCGCCCTATCTTTGGGAAGCAGGTCCTTCAGGTGTAAACGCGCCGAACGTAACGTTCGACCTCCGTGAATGATCACTCTTACATTTTCCATGTTCAGTACCCTCCGAATTGCCTCCGAAGTGCCTTCCTTGTACGGAATTCCGACCGTCCCTATCCACTCGGTTGGAGGTCTTGACTGCCGATGTAGCAATTTATTCAATTGGCGTTTGACAATCGCTCGTGGGTAACCACTTTCTAATAGTTTGCTTATTGCCCCTTTTCGCACTGCCATTTTCAGAACCTGGGTAGGCGAAATCTTTTGTAAACTGAACGCAATTCATCTAATGCCTTGAGGGAATGCCGCAGCATATTACTTACAAATGCTGACAAAGGATTGTCCCTGGTTGTTATAAAATAAGTCAGAATATTTTGAAAAAATGGGACAACATTTGGAGACGGGTCCATATGGAGTAGTTGTTGATAAGACCGTGGCGTCAGTAATGAATAAGAGTAAAACGGAGGTTAGTAGCTATTTAAGAACCGTGAAAGAGTATTTAGGGGCACGCAAGTGGTACATTCTATACCCAAAATCGACTTTACCTCTGAGGGTTTGTGGGTTGCCAAAAGTTCACAAACCCGAAGTTCCCGTACGGCCCATAGTCGACGTTATAGGCTCCCCGACCCATGAAATTGTTAGATATTTGGCAAGGCTATTGCAGCCTCTAACAGGAGGAACCAGGTCATTCGTGAACAACTCTTATGATTTCGCTCAAAATATAGCATACTCAAAATTGAGTCCGATGAGTTGATGGTCAGCTTCGATGTCACATGCCTTTTCCCAAATATACACAAAGAATAGGCGTGAGGAATGACGAGACGTCGTCTAAATGAAGACGTCACACTGAATGATCGGACGAAATTGACAGTTAGCCAGATAATCCAGCGGACGACAGTGTGTCTTTACATTTCTTACTTCGTTTTTCAGTCGAAGCCTTACAGTCAGGAACATGGTCACGCCATGGGATCGCCAATATCTCCTGTACTGTCGAACCTGTATATGGAAGACTTTGAGAACCGGGCGTTAACAAACACCATTAACTCACCAAAAATTTGGTGGCGTTATGTAGACGACAACTTTGTACTTGTTAAACGGGAAAAGAAGGACGAGTTGCGTGATCACTTAAACTCCTTTGATGAGAGAATACAGTTTACTATTGAGTTGGAATCTTGTAGCGGCACAATACCGTTTCATGACTGTGTGGTTCACAGGAATGGGGGAATTTAAAGACGACAATATATCGCAAGCCATCAGATACTGAAAGCTAATCCACTACACTTCGGGTCATCGGAAACAGGTTTAGGCTGGGATAGCGTCAGCGCTGTTCAACAGGGAACAAACCTTGTGCACGATGGAGGAGGACAAAAACGCCGCGCGGAAAGTGGCAATATGCAAACTATTAGAAAGTGGTTACCCACGAGCGATTGTCAAACGCCAATTGAATAAATTGCTACATCGGCAGTCAAGACCTCCAACCGAGTGGATAGGGACGGTCGGAATTCCGTACAAGGAAGGCACTTCGGAGGCAATTCGGAGGGTACTGAACAAGGAAAATATAAGGGTGATCTTTTAGCGAGGTCGAACGTTCCGTTCGGCGCTTTTACACCTGAAGGACCGCCTTCCCAAGGATAGGACGACTAACTGTGTTTATAAAATTAAATGTAAGGACTGTGCACATGTGTACATAGGCCAAACAGCGAGAGAATTACGCACACGAATTTCGGAGCATAGGAGGCGCATTTCAAGACTACCAAGAAACGAGTTTGGATACCAGGCCATAATAAGAGACTCGGCCGTAGCTGTGCATGCATCAGACACGGGTCACCAGATAGACCTCGAAAACGTAGAGGTCATTAGGATGTGTATCCGTTCAACTACTCAGCGGTTGATTGCCAAGGTGGTAGAAATTGCAAAATCTGACGACTGCGTGAATAGAATGGAGGGGGTAGAACTCCGTAATGCGTGGCGGGCGGTCTTAAGCCAGCCAGCTTGACGAGCATCGGTGCGTGGATCAGATTGGAAAGTGAAAACGCACGCCCATTGTCAACACTATGGGCTTATCCGTCATTGTCATGACGCACAAGGGAATCCTAGGACTATTCCAACTGTGATCGTACCACCTGAGGTGACATCACCAACCTTTACTGTAATGACATCATGACTCAAGTCACGGGTAACGCGGTGATCGCCCCTGTTCGCTATAAAATCCCACACCAATTGCACACTGATTCACCTAGTCTGACGAAGTTCTCGTGTCGAGGACGAAACGTTACCAAACTATCATACCAACCGATTGTTTCCAATCCTCTCTGAACTCCTACCGCCCCTTTATTTTTTAGCAGGTATTTTTTCTCTTGGTTTCACACATGTTTGCGAATTTCACGTTTGTACCGAATGGAAACTATCTCTCCGTTTTGCCATCATCGGTTTCGATTTACTCCATCCTGCTTGCCCGTTACATTCATGCGATGCTTCGCTACTTAATTCCGTGATGTTTCTTTTGTAAGTATTCCGTACGTTGGCTACATTTCGACTGTTATTTTCAAGCGTAGTAGTAGAACGGTGTTTTTTATTACATGCATGTTCGATCGCAAGATAGACAGGCAAAAGTAGTGACCTAGCTTTCACTTATCCACTATTTGAACTTTTCATTATTCCCCTTTGTCCATCCATTTATCTGAGGATAGCACTATATTTTGCACAATTTCTTAGTACGGAGGGTACATACGCTTGTCAGAAATTCCTCTTTTTTGAACACAGACACTGATCTGATTATAAGGCCATTCGGATCCCGTGACCTACTAGCACAAGCTTCATGTCAGCATGAGTTATATTGCTCGCCCGTATATGTGGGATTCCAGTTGTTTTAATCCCTTACGTGGAATGCTAGTTACTACATGGAATGTATTGGTTATACCGGGTGGTCAAAGGAAACAGTTCCATTGTTTCGATCGTACATAGGTCACCAATTTCAGCTGGATATTAGAGAGTGCAGGGTGTTTTCCTCCAGGAATATCAGTTTCAAGAGCTGGCAATAGTTACTTGAAAGCATATGGATTACATTTTGTTTCGTTGCGCCTGGCAGGTAAGCACATTGTCTCAGCAGATGTTAGATCTGGGTGCAAATGGTGTGCAACATTTCGCGACAACACTCACCGCTGTTGCCGTATTTTCGCGGGCATTCCTGGTACCAGTGTTGCTAACTTCCGATATACTACAACAGGATTCTCGTTTCATTTACTTGCAGCGTTTGCATTATTCGCGCTGTCGATCCGGGCTGATTGTACCGCTTTATTATTAGGGTTGATTGACAGTCTATTCTTACAGTGGATACTTTAAGCAAGAGCTTGTCACTGGATTGTTCGGGTGCCAAACAACCTGTAAGCTCCCTCCAATAATATACCATTGATAACAGTAGGTCGCCTTGCTTTATCCTATGCAAAAAGATTCCACTATTTGACACACCCTTCTCGGCACTGGGAAACTCGTTTCATATTTTTAAAAGCACAGTGCCAATCCCACTAGCATTCCACGCTTTCACAATGCTTCCCATAACGCAGCGAGTGGTGCGTCACCCAGCGCACAGGCCACTTGCGCAAGCAACCTATATAAAAAGTCTCCACTCCCTGGAGACCTATCCCCCACCTACCCCCCCCCCCCCCCCCCCCCCCCCCCCCCCCCCCCCCCCCCCCCCCCCCCCCCCCCCCCCCCCCCCCCCCCCCCCCCCCCCCCCCCCCCCCCCCCCCCCCCCCCCCCCCCCCCCCCCCCCCCCCCCCCCCCCCCCCCCCCCCCCCCCCCCCCCCCCCCCCCCCCCCCCCCCCCCCCCCCCCCCCCCCCCCCCCCCCCCCCCCCCCCCCCCCCCCCCCACCCCCCCCCCCCCCCCCCCCCCCCCCCCCCCCCCCCCCCCCCCCCCCCCCCCCCCCCCCCCCCCCCCCCCCCCCACCCCCCCCCCCCCCCCCCCCCCCCCCCCCCCCCCCCCCCCCCCCCCCCCCCCCCCCCCCCCCCCCCCCCCCCCCCCCCCCCCCCCCCCCCCCCCCCCCCCCCCCACCCCCCCCCCCCCCCCCCCACCCCCCCCCCCCCCCCCCCCCCCCCCCACCCCCCCCCCCCCCCCCCCCCCCCCCCCCCCCCCCCCCCCCCCCCCCCCCCCCCCCCCACCCCCCCCCCCCCCCCCCCCCCCCCCCCCCCCCCCCCCCCCCCCCCCCCCCCCCCCCCCCCCCCACCCCCCCCCCCCCCCCCCCCCCCCCCCCACCCCCAACACCCCCCCCCCCCCCACCAACCCACCCCCCCCCCACCCACAACACCCCCCACCCCCCCCCCCCCCCCCCCCCCCCCCCAACCCCCCACCCCCCCCCCCCCCACCCCCCCCCCCCCCCCCCCCCCCCCCCCCCCCCCCCCCCCCCCCCCCCCCCCCCCATCCCCCCCCCCCCCCCCCCCCCCCCCCCCCCCCCCCCCCCCCCCCCCCCCCCCCCCCCCCCCCCCCCCCCCCCCCCCCCCCCCCCCCCCCCCCCCCCCCCCCCCCCCCCCCCCCCCCCCCCCCCCCCCCCCCCCCCCCCCCCCCCCCCCCCCCCCCCCCCCCCCCCCCCCCCCCCCCCCCCCCCCCCCCCCCCCCCCCCCCCCCCCCCCCCCCCCCCCCCACCCCCCCCCCCCCCCCCCCACCCCCCCCCCCCCCCCCCCCCCCCCCCCCCCCCCCCCCCTTATATTATATATATATATTATATATATTATTCCCCCCCCCCCTATGCCAAGTCTCTATTCTACGGCTTACCCATCAAAAATTACATAAATAACGTAAGGCAATTTCTTACTTGTACCTTTTAGCCAAACTCGATGTGCCCTGAGATTTGGATATCCGGGTCAGTCTCTGGCTAACTAAACTAACAATATACAATCTCCCACTGGGCTTTGTTTGTTTTCAGTCTAGATGCATATTGCATGTTCTAAGCAATTATCCCGGCCTCCTTTTTTGGTATTGTGTTAGGCATTAAGATTGCAGTGAGTGATCCATCCTTTCTACGCCAATTATATCTTGGATGAGCACGTAAGCAGCTCTCGTGTCTTCGTAACGTGTCTTGTTCCTGTTTTCCATTCGCTTATCCGGCCAACACTGCGAACTTAGCATTCATTGGACCAGCAACATGTTATACCATCGGATTTGCTGCAGCTGTATAAGTAGAGCTATTCTATTGTAACAAGCACGTGTGCAGACAAGCTGCAACACACGTTCCGTTGCTACTATGGTATTCTGTCTTGTCGTGACAAAGCAATTTTGCACCGCGTGGTACGGATGTCGTCGCACTCTACTACTCCTGCTCCTTTCTGGACTGATGCTGCGGCTACCTTGAATGCAGAGTACTGGGAAAAATGGAGGGTTACCTTTTCAGTTTATGATCATGTGCGGCCAGTTATTAACCCAACAATCATGCTAAAACCTGAAGATTTACGCTTTCAATTAAACAAGTGTATCGTCATACATTCGATGTTCTTAACTTTGGGATGAAGCCAACTCTAAAAATGCTTGTTAACCCTCGAAAATATTTAAGAGTTTGGTGCAATTTTTGCGGCCGAAGCAAGCATCTGGTGAATCACTGGATACTTTCAGTCCTCGTTTTGCTTATTCCTTTAAAGGCGTGACTATGCTAGCTTTTCCGAGAAAAACCTAGAGGAGACCTTGCCGATACAACAGTTGGTTTCCGGCATCGCGAATTCTCGGGTCAGAGAGGGTCACTTATTGGAGGACGCAGAAAAGCACGCTTGAAACAGCGCCTCCGATGCAATTCCCGCGAACGTCTCAGTCACGGAACACAACAAAAGAATCCTCTCTAAATCCGTAGCCACTGAAATTGAACGGTTAGATTCAATACGTTTTGTGACGCGGTCCGGAGTTGGAAATAATTGTTCTTTTTTGTGGAAATACCGAACTCCGTTCAAATGGGTAACCGTGTCCTGCAAGGAGTGCAATCTGCAGGTATTGTGCTAAGTCTGATCATTGTGCTCGAGTTTGCGATCCCGTGCCACTCTGCATTGAATCAACCAATAATACTACGTATAATCCAGTCCCTACTAAATATTTCGTATAAGGCGTTAGTGAATCATCATCATCATCATTATACATGTCAGCTAGAGATGGTAAAACACCTCCGCTTTTGTACCGCAATACATAAAGGAAATACATACATACATACAATACATAAAGGAAAAATAAATACGACAGTTGAATGCCAGCTGAGCTACCAGCAACGGATAGGCATCGTTCCGGTAAGCTACTAGCCGGCTACTAGGCAAAAACAAAAATTTAATTACGTTTTACCCTACGAAATAAGATCGTAGATGGAGGGGGAGGCTAAAGGGATGGGGAGGGACAAAAAAATCACAGCAGGAACGCCACTGAGGTCGGCTCCTTGCCATATCAGCAAGTGTATCCAGCCAAACGTGTTCACCGTCTTTAGGACCCCAACCAGGGAGCCGTGAAGCTCCAACTAAGGCCAGCTCCGAAGTGAGGGCCTTCATTCCTCTGGACCAAGTCATCGCTTGGCCACCTCTCCTCTTCTTCCACCCACATCCCCGGTGAGCAAACAACGCACGTCGAGGGAGTCGGTGGGCTGGCATGCGCAACACGTGGCCCAGCCATCGGAGCCTGGTGAGTGAAATGACGGTGCTAAGCGGTTCATTCCCTTTTCCTAGGCCGTAAACAAGGCGTCGAACACGCTCGTTACTCACGCGGTGTTCCCACCAGATGTGAGCCAAACTGCGAAGGCACCGATGGTCGAACGTAAGTAGCCTCTTCATGTACGCCGATCTTAGGGGCCAGGTTTCGCAACCGTACAGTAAGGTCGAACGTACCGCTGCATTGTACACTCTACCCTTCAGGGCGAGAGTATTGTCGCGCCGTCGCCATAGGTAGCGAAGGATAGCAAAAGCACTTCGAGCCTTCGCTATGCGGTTCGTGATCTCGTCTTCGATCCCAAGGGCGCTGATGCAACTTCCCAGGTAATTGAATTTCTGAACGACTTCTAGCTGATCCCCACCAAGGGTCAGCAAAGGGGGCGAACCCTGCCAATCCTGGAGGAACGCTTTGCACTTCGGTGGTGCAAAGCAAAGCCCGAAGCGACTGACAGCCAGTGCTAATCTGTCCAGCGCGGCTTGACACGTCTGGGAGCTGTCACAGATGAGGGCAATGTCGTCTGCATACTCTAAGTCAAGAAGTCGTTCTCATGGGAGTAGCTCCACACCTTCCAAGTCATGTCCTGTAAATGCAATCTCCATGACTTCGTCAATAGCGAAGTTGAATAGGAAAGGTGACAGCGGGTATCCTTGTCTCACACCGCTGGAGATATTGAAGGGTGGCGACAGCTTGCCGTAAGCCCTCACTCTGCCCGTGCTACGCGCATATAATGCTTGGATAATATTAACATATTTCTCGGGCACACCTTTCCTGAGTAGACAATTCCAAATGGCACATCGATCAACCGAATCGAAGGCACCTTTGATGTCGAGGAACACGACTACGGTGGGCCGCCAATATGTGTGACGGTGCTCCAACAACTGACGCAAGGTGAAGATGTGGTCGATGCAGCCACGACCCCGACGAAACCCGGCTTGCTCCTCACGAATCTGGCTTTCACGAGCGCCAGTCAGTCTGTGGAGAATTATGGACGCGAGTAATTTGGAGGCGATGGAGATCAGGCTGATTCCTCTATGGTTGCCGCATTCCGAGCGCGAGCCGCCTTTGAAGATGGGAACAATAACGGAGCGGCTCCAGTCGGTTGGGACAGTTTGCTGCTCCCACAGTTTCACTAGTAATTCATGCAAAGCATCAACAAGAGCAGAGCCTCCAGATTTGAAGAGGGCTGGAGGAAGATCATCTGGTCCCGCGGCTTTGTTCAACTTCAACAGTCCGATCTAACGTTCGACTTCTGAGCGAGAGGGTGGATCCAAACGGACAGCCCACGGAGCGGGGCGATCAGTGACCGGCGAATCGAACAATTCTTGCCGATTAAATTGCTTTTCAAAATGCTCAGCCCAACGCTCCAGACGTTTTGACAAATTGTGGATAGGCTGTCCACTCTCGTCACGTATAGTTTCCCTAACACCAGGTCTCCTGCTGCCCGTTTCCCGTATCAGACGGAATAACTTACGATGGTTGCCAAGGGCAGCGGCCACTTCCATCTCTGACGCACGATGAGACCACCAGGATTCGCGGTCTCTCTTCAGGCTAGCACGGAGTTTTGCCCGGAGCTCTTTGCGAGTTTCATTGTGCTCGCTTCCAGCCGGGATTTGCCGGCGAGCATCTATAAGTTCCAGAGACTGCGAAGAGACCCAATGTCCATGTTGACTATTAGACATACCACATGAGGATTTGCCTGCTGCTAGTAAGGTCTGGCGAACATGTGACCAGTGACCATCAATTGTCTCCTGTGAGCGCTTGCTCAACTCGCATGTTAGCGTACTTCGATACGCATTCAGAACAGCTGGTTTTGTCAGTTGGCTGGTGTCATTACGCTCACAGCGTCGTCGTGGGCGTCCGCCAAAACGCATCCGCAGGTCAGCACATACAAGTGCATGATCGGTGTCCACACATGTGCTCCAAATCGAGCGACAATTCTGGATGCAGCCTCTCCAGCGGTAACTTATCGCAATGTGATCAACCTGCGTGCAAGGTTGGTTCGAGGTTGGTGGGCGCCAAGTCACCCTTCGGCGGGTGCTGTGTCGGAAATTAGTGCTCGCAAGAAATAAACGAGCATCTTCACACAAATGAAGTAACCGCTCACCGTTATCATTACGGGAGCCTACACCGTGTTGACCGCCCAGATGCATTTCATCAGTGGACAACTTTCCAACTTGTGCGTTCATATCCCCCGCCAGCACAACAGCGTCCGTGCTTCTTCTGTGGCGAAGGAGCTGGGTCAGTTGGCGGTAGAAGTCGTTCTTTACCGAATCATCGCTACAGTTTGTGGGCGCATAGGCAGCGATGATGAATAGACATCTATTAGCCCCGCGCGACTTCGAAGCTTTAAATGAGCCAGCCAATCGGACCGCACACATCCGGCTACTGATTGGAATCCAATCAACCAGAGCAGCTTCAGCCCGGGGACTCAGGGCAATACCAACACCGGCCTGGCCGGTGCTCGAAGCTGCATCGTCACCGGATAGGCGCAAGGAGAAAATACTGCTTGCGTCCCCTGAAGGGGATCGCAGAGTGAGCACAGTGCTCGGGTCTTGCAGGCGAGTCTCTGATAAGCAGCAGATACCGATCGAGAGGGTCTCCAATGTTCGGGCAAGTGCTGCCTGTTGACCGATTTGTAGCAGTGTGCGTACATTAAGGCATGCCAATCTGAAGGAGGATCGTGGGCTCCAAATGGAAGCCGATGAACTAGATTGGACCGCTTGGTTGGACATGGGCTTGTCGACAGGAGAGGAGTGACGCTCCGCGTTCACGTGTGAGTTGAAATTAGAAGGTAAATGCCTAGCAAAGCATGTTGGGGGAGGGCCAAGAATCAGGGGGGTTGAAAACTGGGGGGATATAAGTGAAGTTGGAATGGGACGGTAAGAGTGAAAAAGCGCAAGAGGGGGGATAAGAAGACGGGAAGGCTTGAGCAGTAGCATCCAAACCCCTATCCACCCTGCTCGATGCAGCAGATAGGGCACCGTTTATTATCCTCTGCGGTGGCCAGAGCATCAAGAAATTGTTTGAAG